TTTTTTTTTTTTTTTTTTTTTTTTTTTTTTTTTTAATTAATAGTATTAAAATCTGAATCGAGATTATACTGGTTTCAATACCCGCCTTGTATAGGAATGTTACAATGAATGCACGCTCGAGCCCGACCGCGTGGCTTGAACGAATCGACTGGTCGAGCGTGTCGAGCAATTGAATATACAGCGCATCAGGCACGTGTTGGTCCGTCGCGTCTTCTTACTCGCGTGGAAGGAAACGAAACCATTTGTAAACACTTTGCTACACATCTTGTGATTTAGCTTCGACACGTCCGCGAGTGTCGTTCCCATTCTCACTGCCGTTATTTTCATTATGTACAAACGTATCTCGCGACGTTTTTAGCATTGCAAATTCAAGATCGAAATCTAGCTTCTTCCTGCCGTGGAATTCTTCGGAAATTTTTCTTCGCTGGAAATAACGAATTCGTACGTAACTTCGTTACGTTATCTCTGAAACTTAACGATTTACGTTAGAGATAGTAGTGATAATATAAATGTGTTTGGATCGTGAGTTGAGAGACAATAAATAAAATAGCACTCTGCATAGAATAGAGGTTTGGACATTATCATTGATTACATATGTGAGAAAAAGGTTTATCTGTGAATACTACTGAAGATTATTGTAATGCACGCCGCCTATTTACATCATCCATGGTTATAACAAAGTAATCTGCAAATTGATAGTGCTGCATTATTCAACAGTTTATTGCATATTCAACGAGTATTAATGGTACTTGCGTTTGTTTCCCATTTTTATCAAATCAAGAAAGGTAAAATATCAAGAGATATCTAGAGTAATCGAAAACAATTACAACCGGTAAATTTAAATATTGCAACTTCCACGAAGAAAAAACTGTAAACTATAAAATATTTTATAAATCTTTATACAATCAATCCTGTTGTTTTGTATGTAAATAAAAATGGAGTTGATTGTCAAATTTGCTCTACACGGAAGTGTCTTTCTTCTGAGAATTAACAAATCATGTGTAAGCTAAAACAAGTTTCGGCACAATTTGAGATTGCGCAAGAATTCGCGCCGTGCTTATTTCAACGAGTCGCAATCGATGACAGTATTTGAATACAGTTTGCAATGTTTGCACAAGCCGTCTTACCGAGCAAAATTATCGTCTCGTGGCATTGTGGTTCGTTCATTCTTCGTCATTTTCCCGAGTAAAGATCCTTTGCACTCATCACCGGCCTGAACTATCACAACGCCGAAACTCAAAGAAGTTTCTTCTGTTCAAAAAATACAGTACGACTAAAATGTAATCGTGATAAGGAAAGCACTTGGAACTAAAGATTGAGAGCAGTATAATCACGTTGAGTTCAGTTTGTAGGAAAAATCTGAAACCAATCTACGATTTCAATCATTAAATTCACGATTAAGAAAAGTACACAAATTTAAAGAATAATAAGAATTTGCTATTTCTGCCAATAATATTCGCTCGGAGAAGGTACAGAAAAAATTTGAATTTATAATTTTTAGACAAAGAAACACATCTATGTCTCTACAGCATTGAAATCCGAACTCACCGTGATCATTCTACCGCTTTCAAACCTCAACTTGCAACCACCCGATACGCGCGGGACATCCCTTCCGGGTTTACGCCGCGTCCACGAGACGATCGCGGCATTCGTCGAGGAGATCCTAGGGATCCTCCTTCGTGGTAGGTTGTATCTGGTGCACCACGCCGGGCAGGTGGTGATGATGATGATGTTCCGGTCGCCTAGAGAGACCCAACAGTGGCGGTAACAGCGGCAGGGGTAGGGGTAGGGGCAGGCCGCCAGGAAAGCCGGCGAGGCCACCGAGGAGGGCCGAGGCGGTCGAGTGCTCCTGAGCTTTTCTCCGAAGTTCAGCTAGGCTGTTGCTCCGATGAAGATCCGTGCCGCCGGGCTTGCAACAGCCACAGATAGAACCGGGCCACCCGGTCGGCGACCACGACAGCATCTCCTGGAGACTACCACGATGGTCGCTAGTGGTCCACAGCGATGGTGTCGTAGAAGTCAATGACGTCGACGCGCTACTGACGACTTTGTTGCTGAATAGCGGCGGTGAGAACTGGGCGGCCAGATGGGGCGAGAAAAAGAGGGACGTCGGCGGTTCCACCGGCCTGAAACCTGCGCCTATCCCTGTAGTACTGAAAATTTGACGAAACAAGGGGATAAATATAAAAGTAGGAAAATTAAGGATACAGTTAAAATATATTCTACCTTTCTTGATATATTATGTGGCATTTTTGAGATGGAAAAAAGTATAAATTTAAGATTGATTTGTGTGTGCGAGGAGGACTTCTATTCTTATAGGTATTTAATAATTTACTAACTCGTTGAATATCCGAAATTGTTGAAAAAGTTATTACAAATATTTTGCTGCGTTGAAATGGTTTCGCTTTCTCATTAAAATTTATTAAAATGTTTAAACGAGGGAAATTATTTTGCGCAAAAATGTAAGACAGCGCTCCGATTAAAAATTTTAATGAGAGTTGGATTTTTGTAATAAAACATCTCATCCGTAATTAATACTTTTAAAATACGCTACTTGTGTATTGTTTTTGAATGATAAATTAATATCATTCTATATTTCTTTCCTTATTTCATTATTCCAAGGCTAATGATAATAACGTACTTGACGCGCGTACTGATCCACATAGACACACAAACATTTCAATCGTCACGCCGGAAACGATCCTTAACTCGTCCGCGAATTAACGCTATTTCAGGCACCGGCGCGATTATCGCCAAAAGGACGTCGCAATTTCGCGTGATTCCAACTACCGGCGTATCAGCGTAGAGAAAGCGAGAGACAGACAGACAGACGGACGGACGGAGAACGAGAGAAAGAGCGAAACCGAAGCGCGGGGGGTAAAGAGAGAGAGAGAGAGAGAAGGAGCCGCAAGCCTCGCAAGCGCTAATCCGATTAGCACGCGCGATGTTCCGCATCCTCCGAGAGAGGAGCGGAGGCTGCTTTGAGGCGCTGATGATTATCTCAAATATTAATCGCAAATATTGTTTAATTAATGTAACGAGCTCAAGTCGGTACTCGAGTCGGAGTCGAGATCGAGGAGGAAGGAAGGGGCGGAAAGGGGATGAACGCGTGGGGGTGGGCAGGAGTTAGGGCAGGCAGCCCACGGCATTTAGGTCGTTAGTGGGGAGACGACGGGGAAGGTAGGAAAGACGCTGCAGTTAGTCGGCAGGCCAGAGTAGCGTATTTCAGGTGGTTGCTTGGGAGAGGAGGAGGGGGGAGATGGAAAACCACGAAGTCGGGAGGGTGAAGGTGGAGAAGGAGCGGCAGAGACGGCGGTGGCAGCGGCGAGAGGAAGAGCCGAACCGCGGTAAGCGCGATAATTAGCGGCAATTAGCCGCGTAGTCTACCGTGCACCTTGCTTACGTGCGCTCGTTTGCCTTTCCCGTGCACACGAAGATGCATATCAGATCCACACGTATCGCGCGCACACACACATACGCGCGCACACACCGCAGCCGTTCACGTGGTGGACGAAGCGCGACTTATCACTGCACGCGCTAGCTTATCGACGCGTCGCTCCGCACCGAGTTACGGTGTCGAGTTACGGTGTACAAGGGGTGACGGCTGAAACGCAGATTACCTCGCAGAGGCGATGTAAGATTAATAATACTCGGCGCACGCGTTTCGAAACGAAAAACCGATGCGAGAAAAAATTAACGCCGCGGGCAGCAATTCGCAGAGATGAGAAAAAAATACGAAAAAAAAACAAGGCGAGCTTTTTAATTGACTAGTTTTAATAGCATTTCTTTTATTTGTAAAACTAAACATTTAATTTTACCATATAAATAGACATTAAATGAATCATCGCGCTTTTAAATTTCTTTATTTTTTAAGGGAAAATAAAATTCTCGCTTTAATATCTAAATTTTAATTTCCGTTGTCTTTATTTTATTTTTTTTTTTTTTTTTTTTTTATCTTTTCTTTCGCCTAACATTTTTATTTCTGAGGGTTTCCATCGCAACTCACTATTTCACTTGACACGTATCCATTTTGTGATCACTTTAGTTATTTTATTTAATATTCATCTGCTCCATTTTGCTTTTATTTAGTTTCTTATCGTATAATCGCTTCTAGGTAAGTAATGACGTCGATAACTACGATATTACCTAGGCGAGGTCGCATTTTCCGCGTAATAAGACTCCATTAAAATCTTTATTTAAAATTCAATAACATTAAACGCTTTCAGCCTCGTCGGCAGCGGATATAGTGTGGAGTCAAAGCGAGTAATAAAAGTGACAGGAAGCGATTTTCGCATGAATGTATCGTATGAAATAATTCACACGCGCTATACGAGCACCAACAATTGTTTTGTATACAGAGTTTGCGTTAATAATCGATGCCTTCGCGTCTCTATTTTCATCTTTCTATCGGAATCGACGTGCGGGAAGATTGCACGTTTTTTCAGTTAGAGACAGAGTCGTTTTCTCAGAATTAATTCTTATTGAACGAGCAGCGCGTAATCAATTCTTACGCGGCCCTCTGAGAGAATCGCGAGACAAAAGAGCCAAATCCGTCTAACGACGAGATAACATTTTTGCGACGCGCATCCGCCCCTGTGCGGCAATACGGAGCGACTCTTAAGGTAGCTAGGTAGCTAAGGTAAGAAGGAACGCAGAGCTTACACCCCCCGCGGTTCCCTTCCCTCCCTCCCCCCTCTCGGCAGAAGCTTCGCCGTGCCTCTGAATAAATAATGGGGATATATTTACGGCGAGCGGTTTTAAATAAATTACAACTGCGGGGACGGCGAAGGAGTATCTTCCTGCCGTTTCTTCTTTACCTTTTCCCTCGACCCTGGGTTCGCCCCCCTCCCCTCCTCGGTTTCCTCCCCCCGACCGACTCCGCTACCGCGTTTTCATCCCGCCGTCTTGCTGGCGTCTAACGTGCCTCTCGCTGCATTACGCGTGTCTACTATGTTTTTCGGCATTGTTCCCGGTCTCCACGTCGAATCCGCAGAGAGAAAACCCACCGCCGTCGTCTCGGGGATTATAAACGAATGCTTGGTCCCCGCAGGAAAGGAAGGATCGCGGGTGGGATAAATCGCCCCTTTCCGATTCCGCGGACGCGGATGCTCGCTCCCCTTCTGTGCGCGGCCCGACGTCGCGGTTTTTCGTGGGAAACATTTTACGGTGGTGCAAATATTTCTCTACACTCGTCCGACTGTTCTTTGCGTATGAAATATCTCTCGGTCGTTGATGATGTTGTAAGTCGATTGCGAGTATTTATACAAATAATTACTCGGACAGGAAATGTAAATGGAAAAAATTAAAGTGCGCCGAGGAGTTATTTTATCGTGGAAAATTGTGTGCAGCGAAGTTTTATTAAATGACGCGAATCCGTAGACGAAATCAGCATGAATACTTGACGACGATACGATAGTATGATTATCCGCCTGCAAAAGCTGACGGCTTGAAAAACACTTCAATCTACTTGTTCCCCCCTAACTAAACTACGACATCAACCGCGTCCGTGAAAAAACCATTATTGACTCTTTAACCTTTTTACCCGTCGCAAACTCTTCGGCTCCCTCATTGCCTCGACGCTTTCCATCGACACGCGAGTCATAAATGCGAGACGCCATCCAGTTTCACGAGACAAAGCTTCAGAGCGAAAAGCGTCGCGCTTCGCTTCGCCGCCCCCGCCGCCTGCCATGGAAGCTGCAGTTTAACGAGGCGACGATTATCACGATTATACGAGTGGCGATGACGACGGCGCGTGATAGAAGCAAGTGACGTCGAGAGGGGGGAGGGGGAGAAGCAGCTTAACCGGTGGGCGTCGAGGGGGGGAAGGGGGGCAGAGCCGTCACGAGGAGTGGTTTAATGGCGCGTATCGAGCATCCGGTCGGCGTGTTCAGCGGCGCTTGCACCCGCTCGCTTGCTGAAATCGTCCGGGAGTTTATAAGGGGTAAGTGGGGCCGGGGGGGGGGACGGGGAACAGAAAGAGGAGGTCAGGGAGGAGGAGGAAGATATTTCCTAAAGACGTAAATACAAACGAAGCTAAGAGCTCACCTCTCGGCGGGCGGTCCGAGGCCCCCTACGGTGCACGGTGGTGGGGGTGGCGCCCTTATGGGGGTCGGTGGTGGCGTCGAGACGCCACCCAGGGACGGCTGACTCGGCTGGGGCCGCGGACTGACCGAAGCGGAAGTGGTGCTGGGACTCCTGGAGCCGCCGCCGTTGCCGCCGCCGGCGCCCTCGGCCACGGCGTCCTCCGTATCAGCGGCGCTGCTGCTCGTCGTCGTGCCCTCCGGATCGTTCCCCGTGGGACTCGGGCCCGCCGACGAGGACGTCGGCGCGGTCAGAGCGGAGGATTCTACGTTACCGCCGCCGCCGCCGCCGCTGCCGCTGCCACCGCCGCCGCTGCCGTTGCCGCCACCGCCCTCGCGTTTGCGTTGCTCCTCCTTCAGACGCTCGCTCTTACGCCATTTCGCTCGGCGGTTTTGGAACCATACCTGGAAATTATGGTGGCCGCGGTTAGAATATATTATTGTTACATGTTAAGCTTGGCGGGGTCGATAATGCAAAGCATTAGTTTAATGCGAAAGTTTCTGCTTTAAAGTTTACTGAATTGAGTTTTTTAAGAAGCGGTGGAAAAATTTCTAGGTAAAAGTGGAAAACGTAACGTTTAATCCACCCGATTCGTTATTAATTGATACATATAAATGTCGGAAAGCACACATTCCAAATAGAAATAAATTATACTCTTTGTTCATTCAACGAAATGTTCCCGTGAGCGACTACTGGCACGAAACACCTTTCGCTCAACCCTTTCATTTCATACTTTTAACATGCTTTACATCCGCGCGCGTATAACATAACTTCTGATTTAAATTAAATATGAATAGATATCGTATCGCGATATGTGCATCCAGAGAAGTTAAACTTCTCAAAAGCCAACTTGGCGGAAGTTTGCATAATTCTCTGATTCAATATTCTCAGCATCTGGCTGCGCCGCGCGCGAGAACGAGGGGGTTAAGTCTTGCGAAAGTCACAGAAACGACGAGTGGCGGGAAGGGGGCGGAGAAAAATGAGACTACACCGGCGGTCATATCTACGCCACTCCGCAACGTCCGCAAATGTGCAAGGATAATTGCATGCGCGGGTACGGCGTTTCTGAGGCAGAGAAAAGCACGGGGGTGCCGGTGGATGTGGGTTTGGGAAGGGGTCGGGGGGAGGGGCACTTTTCCGCCGTGCATGTTCAACGAGCCGACAGCAACCACGGCGGCCGAGTGTTTTTTAAAAAGCTCGAGTTCCACTAACGAGGCTAACTTGACATAATACCGGCTGAAATAGACTTTATTACACCCAGCGGTTCTCCGCCGCTGACGCCGACGTTTGTTCCGACGACGTGGATGTAATAACTGCGTTCTCTCGCAAAGAATTCTCATGTAATCCGCTAAATGTCAATTTATGTAACGAAAATGCTATTTGTAATCACAGCTATTGGATTGCCACTCTTAAAGTAGTCGATATTATGAAAATTTATTCTACACAAAATATTTTGAGTACATAAAATCAATAGAAATATGATTGAGTGCGTAACTTTCAAGGAAAATTATTGAAGAGAGAAATACTATAAATTCTACAAATTTTCTTAAGAAATATTTAGCAACCGAATAGCAGAAATGGGATTGACACATCCTGCATAACGGGTCTGGAGAAAATGATTATCTTATGTTGCACGGAACTTTCGCGGGAGGAGGCTTGGAAAATGGTTTAATAAAATAAATACGATGGGTACGAGAGACTCCAACGCCGCCTCGAACATCGCGAAGGGGGGGAGGGGGGGGAGGGTGGAGAACGGCGGCAGACAGGGAGATATAATAATATCCTAAGGGTTACAGGGAGGCGAGTAATAGCTGGGAACAAAGCCATGGTTCCGTAGGGACCGCCGTCGTTCTCCTTCCCACCCTCGCGCGATAACTCTCCTCTTCCATTTTTTTTTTCCAATGCGAATTCAATCCCAAATTCGTTGATAATGGCACGATTCGACCTCGTCATCGGTAAAACGTTTTTAATCGGCCACATCCTAGTTAATCGGATCTATTGCTGTTGACTGCGAGATTGCACTTATCAGCATAGTGCGCTTTTTACAACTAGTGAAAGGTCATTTTATTAATTCGCGAAAGGTCATTTTTAAATGCTTATAATAAAAATCCAATCTTTTCAGACTCGTGTTCATGAAGAGTTCTCTTGAATATTTAACAAAATCCGAAAGTTTGCACGGTTTTCTGTCTCACTGGGTCACGATAAATTATTTAAATATTTTTATTAACCGCCTTGAAGGGAATTTGGAATAATGAACAAATTAAGCGCGCCTTTATTTTATCAAAGATAGTGATACTTCACGCTATTTTTTTTTTCTCGAGAGATTCGATCCGTGTTACCCAATTTTTGACATTTTACAATTCCAAAAAAGCGTAGATAATTGTGTAAAAGGATATGCTACGAAATTCAATCGTCAAAAATAGAGGAGGGCCAACGTTAGCGCGATCGCGCCCAGCGTCCCCAGTCCAGAGCGCGTCCGCGCGAGCGGCGCAGGTGCGAGCGGCGTTTGACGCGTCTAATTCACGCACGCGGTAATTGCCGCCTCGCACATGTGCACGCTTGTGTGCATGTGTGTGCGCGTCATATCTGTACGCAGTGTTCGAGGAAATATACGCTCGCGCCGTGTATGACGAGACGTCGTGTGGTACGTGCCTCGGCGATACAACAAACCCTCCTTCAACCCCCGCCGTCTCCCCCCTCTAGAAGATTCTAATTGGAGTCTGGAGAAGAGGACGGGCGCTACATAAACGCGCCTATTTGTCCATTATTCCAGATTCCCTTTGTCTTCGCTAATGAAACAATGAGTCTGCGCCGTAATTGCGTCACAGCCAGACCGACCCCCCTCCTCTTCTTCACCGCTTGCCTTCTGTCTCTCTTTCATTGTCGTGTGTACACACTAGACCGTCTCTCTCGCGGAGGCTGCAGCCTTGTCGGCTTCGTGTAATCTGCACAATGCACGCCAGGCTGCCTCTTAGACTTTGTGATCGAGGATCCTTCGCGAGTCAGGACATCAATGACGGGAAGACGAAGTGCCGCGATGCTTGCGACTCTTCCGGGGAGGATGTGCGAGCGATATTCGGTGTTTAATAATTCTAATTATTGCAAAACGCCTCGTTAATCAACAATGGATGAACCGCGCGATAAAAATTGAAAGGGTTTCAGTTTACCTTTGACGTTTCGAAAACTGTCAAAAGATATTGTCCGAAATTCGATGAACACTGGCATCTGCCGAGAAATCAAAAGCCGCCATTGGTAACCAGATATTCTCTGCAGATGTTCCGACAGGATTTTAGGCGGGAATCGCTGTTACTGCAGGGATTCTCAGCGCGAATTACGACAGCGTGAGTAAATATGGCCGTGAGGACGTAGCCAGGAGTACAAAGTAATCCCGGAGATTACCGGCTTACTCTGTCAGAAGATTACGTCAGGTCGAGGGTGTCAGTGCGCCCCTTGGGGCCCCCGGGGCCGCACCACCTTCCCGCTCGGCCCGATCCACCCCTCCGTACGCTCTTGCGGCAACATTATCACCGTGCAGCCAGACAATCGATCATCGTCGCGATCTTTTACAGATTTTTTTGTTCTCTTTATTCAATCAGTTGTCAGATCCCAAATTTTTATTCTGACTAAAGCTCGCGCGCGCTCTCTTTCTCTTTCTCTTTCTATATGCCGCGTAGCATTATGCAGTACATGAAATATGAAGCATTATTTTTTATATTATAAATTATAAATATGTTAAATTTTTTAAATAAGCAGGAACGGAATAAAAGCCGGGGTAAAAAGAAAGATTTTGTTGAAATTTCGCTTTGGATCGCAAAATCCGTTTTACGCATATTTTCGCGAAATAATCATTTGCATACTAATGGATACTAATTACGTAGGCAGGTAATACGTTCTATTGTGTATTTCGTGAAAAATATTACGCAGAAACGTACGGTGAAAAATGTTCGCGGAATTTTTCTACTTAACGCTATGAAGGCGGACAAAAAATTGTCGGGTTGCCATGCGTAATTTTCTCATCGCATTAAAACCCGGAATCCAATCTCAATGCGCTGAGACGCATTAAAAGATTAAGCTGGCTACTGCCAATGCTCGGACACGAGCACGCGAATATTCCGTGAAGTTTTAATGCACGTGCTTTCACATTAACGAATAAACGTGATTACACAAGAGATGATTAACATACTTTCAAGTAACTTGTTTTAATATATCCTTAAATATAATACGGCGTGTGCTCTTCTGCCGTAAATTTATTCATCTCCTTTATTCTAATAAATCTTCTTATAATTTAACCGGATTACAAACATTGTTAGATTATAGTAAGTTACTTTGTTGAGAACTGGCAGTGGCAAAATAACAGAGAACAAACAAAATAATTACATTAATAACAATGGAGCAACGCGCTAGGTTGCTCTCTAAAGTTTTCGTGTGCTTGGAAAAAATGTTTACAGTCTGAAATAAAATATAATTATTTTACAGGATTACATAAAGAATATATTTAATTTTTAACTAATTAAATTAAAAATAATTAATTAGAAATGAAAGAATTAACGGGTTCAATAATAAAGAGAGAGATCTTCGCCTTTTGTTATCATGCTTACCTGTACTCTAGCCTCCGTAAGATTAATCTTCATGGCCAAATCTTCCCTTGTAAAGACGTCCGGGTAGTGAGTTTGCGCGAAGGCAGACTCGAGTTCCTCCAGTTGTTGGAGGGTGAAAGTCGTCCTGTTCCGCCGTTGCTTCCTCCTCACGAAGGAATCCTCGCCAACTCCGTGCAGTGCTGGGTGATAGGCGGAATAACTGGTATCTGCAATAAAAATCGAAAGATATGATTAGTGCTAATAATAAAAGTGATACTTTGCGATATTGACAATAATTGATAAGTATTAATATTAAAAATTAATTTTTTTTATTTAATCTGTATGTTAATAATAGATATTAATACAAGGAAAAATATATATTTCCACTTCAAATGGGTTAGTTCGATGGTAGGACAGAGTTTCGTCTTTTAATTCTTGATAGATTCGAATTTGCAAAGTTCCAGTGCAACTTAGTTCCGTACTCCGCATATTTGACTGTGCTTGACTAGGGTTTGAGAAACTCGATAACTTGGAGAAACTTATAAGTTACTGACAATCTCGCGGAATTTTCAAATTTATACAACGTAATCGCAAAATAAAATAATCAACGCCATTCTTCGCTCTCAATTTCGCGGCGGCAATTATATATAGTCTGAGTAAATTTAAGTAAATAGTATTACACGCAGTATATACACGTTCACATATTTATTTTTTAAATAAAATTTAATTTAATCCAAACTTACTAATATAATAATTGAATTCTTTATATCAAATATATTCCTGTCTATTTTTTATTTTGGGTTAATTAAAGAAAATCTTTTAATACATTATTATATCAATTTTGTTCTTGTCATATCTTAACAATCTTAACACACAGACTTTGTATCGTGATTACAGTTACACGAGTAGATAGCTATTAGTTAAAAATATTCAGAAAAACGCGGCTATATATATCTGTGATCGCACTATCTATACAAAACATCGAAAAGTGAAACATCGATATAAAGGCATCGGATACGCGCGCATACAATGAAACGCGAGGTGGGAGCAGACGTTACGGAGCGGCCGGAACCGCTCATCAATGATGCAGAGCAATCAGCGCAATTAATTACCGCGGCGCTAAGCCGGGGCTTAGCGAAAAACACAAATTAATTTCCTAAGCTCATAAAAATTCATGCCACTCTCTTTCCGCCGCCCACAGCCCCCCCTCTCTCTCTCTTTCTCTCATTCTCTCTCTTTCTCTACGTCTCTTTTTCTCGTTCATCCTTTCTCTCACTTCCATCCTCTCGACAGAGGATGATAACGGCGACAGAGGGAAAGCGAGATAGGGATAATAACGCACGATGGTGTTGCAGCATCAACAGTGCACAGCCGATTCATCTACATAGTTGCCTTTATAGGAACGCATCGAGATACTTCGCCTCGATGCCACTGAACTTTCACAACTGTCGCGGACGTGCAATTATACGCTACAGTCGCCGCGATCTCCCGTATCGTTTGCAAAATTAATATCAACGAGGATCCGCGAGGATTTTCGCTCTAAGCCGCACGCGAAAATAAACGATTCGAGCGTTTCGTACCGCTGATATTTTATCAGCGCGCTTAACAACGTTGCGGGCTCGCGGATGCACTTAAATTTTCGCTTCCGTGATTCGGTTCGCACGATTGGAGTGCCTATGAATTTTTTTTATATTGTGTAAGTTGTACTTACTTAAGATCAAAATTATATCGTACTTTTCTATATTATATATAGAACCGTTAAAAAAATAATTAACTTCGAAGCAAACAAATTATATCTTTACAATTCGATAATATAATATCGATAGCACATTTCTTATTTATTTAAGATCTTTGAAATAAAGTTATTTAATTTTATAGAATACAAAAGATTTAATTATTTAAAAAAAAAATAGAAAATGCAGATATCTCTCGGCCGCAATTTTTCTTTTGTTAATAACATTAAGTTTGTAATAACAAAATTCGATAATAGCGGCACAGTTAATCTGCGAAATGCATTATGACGCGAGGAATTTTTCCCATTTTCGACATATCGATAATCGTCGCTGTTACTGCATAGAAAACGAAGATAGAGAAGCGAATCGGACGACGACCGCGGCGGCTAAATAAATTTGCCGGTGCCCCAAACTGAAATCCACTCAAGATCTTAGATTAGAGTCGGGCCGAAGTAAAGCCCGGATCCAGACAACTCGTACAACTCATCGGGAGTCGGTCTGATCCAATTTATTAGTAGTACCCCGGCTGTGGAAGAGAAAGAAAGACCTGCTGACGACTTTTGCGCCCGGGACGCACGCGCGACTTCTTTTCACGACACGCTTCGACGTCGTCGACGCTTTGTCTATTGAAAATACAAAGGGGAGTGATTAATTTTTCACGCACGGGAAGCATCGTTAATTCGCGAGTGTCATTTTTTTTTTTAGCGAAATGTAAAATCATTACGCAACCGACTTGTTTTTCTTGATTGTGAGACGAAACTTCGGAAACTTCTCGACTTAAAATTGCTGCCTGAGACTGTTGCGTTTTGATTTTTCAACGGAACACACATAACGTGAATATATCACAAGTACTGTACATGTGTAATTTTTATAAATTAATTTAAAATAAATAGGAAGGTGTGTTGAAGGGAAGGTTAACATAAAATAAAATTGCGAGAGTGGGCGAAAATAAAATGCTTTCGCGCAAAATTTCGCCTTTGATGAAATCGGGTAAATTTAATCAATATAAATTTAACTCTAATTTTCACTTCGCGTCCACACCGTTGATTTTGCGTTTTCACATGCGCCGGCATGCCGGAGAACGGCTCAAAATTATTCTAAACGCGCGTCACGCTCCTGCATGATCGTTCGTATCCGTTGCGGACTGCAGCCTGCTC